ACTATCGGGAATTTTCAGACAAAACGAAATGCGATTTATCAGAAATTTTCAGATATTTGTTACGTAAAAACGAACTACTAATATCAGAAATTTTCAAGTAAAACGAAATGCGAATATCAGAAATTTCAGATAGTTGTTGCGAGAATTTTTTTTTTCAGAGATTTGACTAAGTCCTACTTGCGTTACTAATGAGTGATCAATAGATCGCAAGCTGGCTACTTGATTAAGCGGGTCCTCTGAATGAGAGGTCTGCTCCGATACCGAACTGTTGCATACTGTAACGTGCAGACCAGAACAAGAACCGACCTTTCAATACAAAGTATAAGATAGCTCCGATACCAAACTGTTGCATACTGTAACGTGCAGACCAGAACAAGAACCGACCTTTCAATACAAAGTATAAGATAGCACAACGGAAGACTTAGATACCAGTGATCCGAACAATCAATGTTGCAATGCAGCCCTGAACATACATCATCATCATCGTTACATGGTGTGAATGGGGTCTGGCGCTTCACACAGGAAGACAGCGCCAGCCCAGAACATGCACAGACGAGGAGGAAGGGGATAGACGAAGAGGAGGGGGAAGATGGGAATGTCGTCAACACCACGTCTTCGGCACAAGCCCAAATAGTCCCTCGTCGAACTGTCTGAATCCCAAATGTCAAGTCTGGATCCAATGTCGTCAAGTCTCAAGTCACAACTCTGTCTCTCTCTGTCGTAGTCTGAGAAGTCAGGTGGCGAGAGGGTGAGAAGAGAAGGTGGACTTAGAAGAGGAAGAAGAAGAACTCTCTCTCTCTCTGTGTCCAGTACTAACCTGTGAAGTTGGCGCCTTGAAGATGGAGCTGGAGCGATGGCGCCACAGGTAAGTACCACTGGCCTCCCCCAGTATCTCTCCCACTCTACGATCTACCACCTACCAGTGCCCAGCGCTGAAGACTACTCTATGGCTATGGCGCCCAGCGCCGAAGACTACAGCTAGCGCTACTACTACTTAGCGCTGAAGACTACTGCAGCGCTCCTCCTGAGTGCTGCGGCCGAAATCCTGAAGACTACTCGTGCCTACTGAAACTACCTACCCGTGAAGTGCATGGGAACTTCCTATGTACTACCGGGTGTGCCTCCTGAGCCGTGCGAGCAGTTCAGGAGGCTGCTCTTGCCAATGCCGAAGGGAGGCAGGGGCTGCAGCTGCAGCTCCTGCTCGAGCTCGTGAGGAACATGCTATTTCTGGCCTGTTCCGCATCCCTGTTTGCGTGTCTGAGTCTTAGGGGCAGGTCGAAACAATGAGGGCCTGAAAATGGCCCTCCGTTTCAGGCTGGAAAGACTCTGGGTCTGAAAGGCCCAGAAATAGGCTGAAACGGAGTAGGGCCTGCAGGCCCTCGTTTTTCAGCTTTCAGGCTGAAACGACTGGGGCCTGTAAGCCCTAAGTTTTAGGCTTTTAGGCTGAATGTCCGGGACGGGCCCTGCAGGGCCCGTGTGGCTACATAGTAGGCCACAGGTATATTGCGAGGCCTAGGGCCTCGATATGCCCTTCAGGGCCCACTTTTCACACAGTCGGCCGCCCTAAGTGAAGGCAGGCACGACCGAGGCCTACAGGCCATTTCACGGTCACCACGCAACTGGGGAAATTCAGGCAGTTGCGCAGCGCCAGTTGGTTGGAAGCACCCCGGGCCCAGGCTGCCTTCATTGCATGTACCTAAGGCAGGCCCTGGGCTGGATACACAAAGTGGACCGAACAAAGGCTGAGGGCAGTTGAGTGCTGATAACCGCCTCAGGCCCTGGGCCTGTTTCGTTCGGACTGAGGCTCAGCCTTCCTGGGCCTACCGGAAGCTTCTGGGTCGGGGCCCAGTACCGCAGCACAGCCCGCAGCAGCAGGCCACTTCGATATAGGGAAGGGCCTGCCCACGCATTGCACATTTTGGCACTGACTGCTTTGTGCGCAAGCGCTGCTGCGCTATCGCCTGCCAGGCTCACGTGCTCACGAGCGAGCTGGAAGGAGCAGGCAGCCATAGCCGAGCTGCGCTGCTGTATGCTGGATGGGGCGCATGGTGGCCCTTGGGTGCAAGTGGCATCTGTGAGTTGGGGAACGAGGTTGTGAGTGATACGAGAGACATACCTGGTGCTTGAAGTGTGGCATTGTCCGAGATCTGCTCGTACTTCGGGGAGCTGTTGACATCATCAGCGGCATTGTAGAGTAGGCTAGATAGGATCTGCCATCTGTAGTCTGGGCGCCGAGCGCCAGATAGGATATCAACATTGGTTCTTCGTTGATGATGGTGATGAGACTATTCCAGCATTATCAATTATGAGCTTTTGGTGTGCCCTTATTTGGTTAAACTCGTGATGCAATTCTGCTTTTGGTTCGAGGTCACGACTATCTGATCTCATGTGTATAATGCTGTTTGATTGCTGAAGTTCGCTATTGCTCATCTTCCTTGCAATTTGGTATCGGAGTTGTGGTTCGGTGCGCTAATTTGGCGCTTATCTTCTGCCTAATGCGGTACATGCACGCGGTGTGTACGGTGAGCGACAGTGCCATGGGACGTGTTTAGTGAGGAGGGCGAAGATAAGTGGCGACCCAGGAGGTGAGGAGTATCGCCAGGAAGGCTTAGTGGTGATTATTGGGTGTTCGCAGTGTGATGAGAGCTATCCGGTGTGTGATTGATGCTGAGGTGGAATGGTTGTACAATGTTGGTTGTGTCGAAGCAGTGATTGGTCATCACAATCAACATCGGGTCATCTGGTGAGAATATCTGTGGTTGGGGCCAGCTATTTTGAGGTACGTTGCACCTAACCGTATCTACCCTCTTCGACATTTCTTACTGTGAGGATGTGTGTTTTGTCTTGAGAGTACTCTCGTGTGAGGAGTCGTGTGCGCTCAACCTTGAGAGTCGCCAGCCTTCACGTGGAGCATCTGGAAGTAGAGGGCGGAGCTATCTGAAGGGCCCTGGACGAAGCACTGGGTCACGATCACCATGCCAACCCACCGAGAGTAGAGCACGCATGCATTGCTTCTTTGTCCTTTGTCTGCTCGCTGCGTTGTAGAGGGGTTATGAAGGGCAGGCCAGCCCTAGGGGACAGACGAGACCGGGCGTCTATAAATAAGCACCGGCGGGATACCTTCCATTGGCTGTGATCGTCGTCCTGTTTGCGACGTTAAAGAATTCCTGAGGACTTCGGGGGCTGTCCATAAAAACGCCTCCTGATCAACCAATCGGTCGGTGTTAGGCTCGCTGCACGCGAGGATAAATACGGTGCAGGGCTGGCCAGCTCAGCAGAACTCGGGGCACAGGTGTGGGTCGTGTGCACACCTTCAGACACGCACACTATCTGGATTGCTCAGGGACGTTGACGACAAGAGACATTCAAGAAGAATTGAGGGAGGGGTAGATTCCAGGTGATAAGTTTGGGCAAGATTTCATTCTGCAAACAGACCCAACAAACGATTCTATTTTTATTTTGATTAGTTAGATGGACAACCATTAACATCTGACAGACAGCATTAGTTAGAACTGTTTTTTGTTCCTTGTACTTCTGTTTGCGGACTAGTCAAAGTAAAATAGTTTTGTTTGTAGGAATCTGAACTTACCTGTTGGACCCAAATGTATAGTCTCTGACATAGCCGCCAATTATTTATATTATTTTATTATAAATCGGTCTGTACATGTCGCTGCGGTAGGCATCAATCGTGTGTCCTAGTGCATACGGTGTGCAGTTATGTACCATCGAGTAAGATTATAACTTTTGTAGGACGGTCCATCCTCTCCGCCCTGAGTACCATCAGATTGCAATCCGGCCCAGGAGGGAGTAGGTTCAGAGGTTGGTAGCGTAGAGGCTTCAGGGGGTGGAGTAGTTGTTGTCGTAGCTCAAAAAGGAAAGGCGACCGGTAGAAGTCGTGGAGGTTCCCGGTCAAGGAGTCAAGTTGAACCCAATGCTCCCCCATGGGAGAAAGCAGGTCTCACTGAGGACGTGTGGAGAGACAGGTACACCAGGCAGGCCTGTATTCGTTGTGGCCAATATCGCCACAACCAATTCAAGTGCCGCAATAAGAAGGTGACCGAAAAGATCCTGCCTACGATGGGGCAGGCGTTGGGATCCTCCGCTCCCGTTGGTAGCAATGTGGCCAGTAGTTCTAGCACTGCTCTGGGAAACGCGTCGGGCCAGTTGGAATGGCAGTTGTTCCTGCTAGGGTCGAGATGGTGGACACACCCTCACCATCTCGAGAGATGGCCCAAGCTACTGACTCCATCGTTGTCCCGCAAACACATTCTGACCCATCGAGCCTCTGTTCGATGAATGTGTTTGAATCCTTAGAGGAGCTAGAGGAGGAGTGGTCTAGATCAGACTCACTAGCTTCTTGGACAACATTGGCCAAAGCCCCTAAGGGAGAGATGTTCGTCGACGAGGTGGTCATCGACGGTCGCAAGGCCGGGGCCTATTATGACACTTGCTCGACTAGGAACTTCATTTGTCGCGCGTGCGTTGAGAGGCTGCGCTTACAGGGGTGAGTGCAGCGCCTGAGTCGACCTGTGGAGTCGACCTGTGCCAACAAACAGCGCATGGTAGTCAACGACTACCTCCAGGATGTTGAGTGTTGTTTCCCGTACGCGGGAGGGGAACTGAGACATCGCGTCTCGTTCCTAGTGAGCGATGATATCCCTATGGATATCTTGTTAGGTATGTATTACCTCTCCGTGGCACAGCCCCAGTTTGACTGGGACCGAAAAGTGGTTAAACACACTTTGCCAGGTGGAGGGACCGCCAGATTACGTAAGTTCAAAACTAGTAGTTTGATCGAGTCCCATGGGTGCATATGTGTGTCCGCGTTCTATAATTATTATAAGCAAAATCCGGAGGAGGGTATGTATCTAGTTTATATGTCTCTACAGCAGGCGAGTCGGTGAAAATGTCGTCGGAGATAGAGGGAGTAGTTGCCAAGTACCTTGATCTATTTGAAGAACCTACAGGGGTTGTTGAGAGGGAGGTCGTCCATGCGATAGAGATTATCCCAGGGTCTAGTATTCCGAAGGGTAGGATCTATCGGATGTCTCCAGGCGAGCTTGATGAGCTTCGCCGGCAACTCAAAGAACTCGTAGAGAAGGGTTGGATCCGGCCGAGTGTTTCTCCTTATGGATCACCAGTCCAATTCGTACCGAAGAAGGAAGGAACATTGAGGATGTGCATTGACTATAGGGGCCTCAATGCCATCACTGTCAAGAACAAAGAGCCCCTACCGCGCATCAATGGCTTGCTAGATAGAGTGCAAGGGTGTCGGTACTTCAGTAAGGTAGACCTGAAGTCTGAGTACCATCAGATTGCAATCCGTCCCGAGGATCAACACAAAACCGCATTTCAGACTAGGTACGGTCTGTACGAGTTTGTGGTGATACCTTTCGGGCTTTGCAATGCTCCTGGCACCTTTCAGCACGCTATGAATCGGATATTTCATGACTACTTGGATAAGTTTGTCATCGTGTACCTCGATGACATACTTATTTTTAGTAAGACTGTCGAGGAGCACATTGCGCACTTGGACAAAATCCTTCGTCTTCTTCGACAACACAAGTTCAAGATCAACGGTGAAAAGTGTGAGTTTGGCCGCACCCGTGTCTCGTACTTGGGTCATGAGATTTCCGCGGAGGGATTGAAGCCCGATGACACGAAGATGTCCAGCATTCGTGACTGGCCGCGTCCTCACTTTGTGACTGAGATGAGGTCCTTCTTAGGGATGACAGGCTACTACCTCAATTTTGTTCAGAATTACAGCATAGTGGTCGCCCCTTTGACGAACCTGACTCGCCTTGACACCCCATGGGAGTGGACAGACAGGTGTGAGGCTGCTTTCAGACAACTGAAGCATGCGTTGACACACCATGAGGTCTTGAAACTTCCTGATCCTGACAAACCTTTCGTAGTAACTACGGATGCTAGCCAATATGGCATAGGCGCGGTAGAGTACATGTCCAAAAAGATGCCCTCTCAGAAGTTGGCTAAGTCCACCTATGAGAAGGAACTCTATGCGATCTACAAGGCGCTCACCCATTGGAGACACTATCTCCTTGGGAGGTTCTTCTACGTCAGGACTGATCACCAGACCATGAAGTGGATGAGAACCCAGCCTATGCTTTCCGACGCTCTGAAGCGTTGGATCGAAGTCATAGAGCAGTATGACTTTGAGCCCCAGTACATCAAGGGCGAGTACAACAAGGTTGCTGATGCGCTGTCGCGTAGGCCAGATTTCTCTAGTGCGCTGATCACTGAGTTTGGGCTTGCGGACGATGTTACTCGCTCTATGATGGAAGCCTATCGCGAGGACCAGTTTATGTCTGAGATCATACACAGACTCGAGGCGAAGAACAAAGTGACTTCTGCCGAGTTTGTGTTGGTCAACGGACTGTTGTTCCTTGAGAAGGCAGGGAATAAACGTCCGTGTTTGCCAGATTGGGAGTCTTTGCGTAGTTTATTTTTAGGCGAGTGTCATGATGCCACCGGATATTTTGGTTTCAAGAAGACTGCAGCCAATCTGCTGCAGCGATTCTGGTGGCCCACGATGATGAGAGATGCCAAGCTGTACGTGGAGACTTGTCAGATCTGTCAGAGAGACAAGCCCCGTACACAGGCCCTTCTTGGGCTCCTCAAGCCCCTTTCGATTCCGGAAAGGCCCAGTGAGAGCCTGTCTATGGACTTCATGGACACGCTGGTCACCAGCAAGAGTGGAATGAGACACATCTTTGTTATCGTGGATAGGTAGTAAGTACGCTAGGTTAGTTGCAATGTCGGAGACGGCAAAGACCGAGTATGTGATCAGACTCTTCAAAGAGAACTGGGTCAGAGACTTTGGGCTCCCAAAGTCTATTGTTAGTGACAAGGATGTCCGATTCACAAGTGAGTTGTGGAAGGCTGCAGCTGCAGAACAGGGAACACAGCTGCAGATGACTTGTGGGAACCATCCCGAGGCCAATGGCCAAGCAGAGTAGCTTAACCGCGCTGTGCAACACCTATTGCCGCACTACATCAAGCCCAATCAGGTGGACTGGGATGAGAAACTTGCTCTCATCGCCAGCCTGTATAACAATGTTGTGCACAGCGCAACTGGAGTAAGTCCTAATAGTCTGCTGCTGACTTTCAAGCCCAGACTGCCCCTAGACTTTCTGCTACCTGACAATCAGTCAACTGCTGCACCTGACACCCTTGAGTTTGCCTATCGCTATGAACAACTGATGCAGCAGGCAGTAGAATAGATGCACAGGGCACAGGCGGCAATGATAGAATCTGAGAGCAAACACCGCCGCCCTTCTACATTTCAGATAGGAGACAGAGTCTGGGTAAAATCCTCAGAACTGGGACAGGAGCACGAGATCTCCCGTAATCTCATGCCACAGTACTTTGGACCATGGGAGGTTCTAGGTGTTGTTGGGGAAGATCCTGATGGGCCATCCTATGTTATTCGGATCCCTGGTCATCTCCGCACTTACCCTGTCTTTCTTTCACACCTCCAAGCTTGCACCATTCAAGGAAACTGACCAGTTTCCCTCTCGTCACTCTATCCTGCCCCCAACCATGGATGGAGAGGTCGACATCGACGACATTGTTGATCACAGGGAAATGCCAGTTCCAAGACCGACAAGCAGAGGACGTCCTCCGAAACCGAAGCTGCAGTACCGGGTTCGGTTCAGACATCACACTGATCCAAAGGAGGATAGATGGTTCACACGGGAGGAACTGATGCAGACCGCTCCACAGGTCGTCGCTCACTACGAGAAGTCCCTGCAGAAAGGAAAACGCCAGATTATCGAAGATTGAACTTCTCAGAGGACTATTGAAGCATGGAGGAGGGAATGCGAGGCTTAGGGCCTCGATATGCCCTTCAGGGCCCACTTTTCACACAGTCGGCCACCCTAAGTGAAGGCAGGCACGACCAAGGCCTACAAGCCATTTCAGGGTCACCACGCAACTGGGGAAATTCAGGCAGTTGCGCAGCGCCAGTTGGTTGGAAGCACCCCGGGCCCAGGCTGCCTTCATTGCATGTAACTAAGGCAGGCCCTGGGCCGGATACACAAAGTGGACCGAACAAAGGCTGAGGGAAGTTGGGTGCTGATAACTGCCTCAGGCCCTGGGCCTGTTTCCTTCGGACTGAGGCTCAGCCTCCCTGGGCCTACCGGAAGCTTCTGGGTCGGGGCCCAGTACCGCAGCACAGCACACAGCAGCAGGCCACTTCCATATAGGGAAGGGCCTGCCCACGCATTGCACATTCGGGTACTGGCTGCTTTGTGCGCAAGCGCTGCTGCGCTATCGCCTGCCAGGCTCACGCGCTCGCGGGCGAGCTGGAAGGAGCAGGCAGCCATAGCCGAGCTGCGCTGCTGTATGCTGGATGGAGCGCATAATGGTCCTTGGGTGCAAGTGGCATCTGTGAGTTGGGGAACGAGGTTGTGAGTGATACGAGAGACAGACCCAGTGCTTGAAGCGTGCGGCATTGTCCGAGATCTGCTCGTACTTCGGGGAGCTGTTGACGTAATCAGCGGCATTGTAGAGTAGGCTAGATAGGATCTGCCATCTGTAGTCTGGGCGCCGAGCGCCAGATAGGATATCAACATTGGTTCTTCGTTGAT